TGGGAATTTTATAAAAGTTCCTCTTCTAATTGTGTATTATTTGCAAATAGTTTTGCATGCTACCCTTGTAATTTGTTGGACAATTAGATTTCCGTTGGTTTTCATTGTAGCCAATTTACTGTAGTACCTGAGGGTAAGTTCTTATTTACTAGAGAATTTTCTTCTATTGGAGCATTGCCCATAAGTTCATTTTCTTTGAGTGCCCACTTCGTCAAAATATGATAAATTTGAGTTCTAGTTGTAGTAGTTTCAGTGTTTGTTTGTTTATTTATTCACCTATTTTTTATTCCTTCCAGTTATCATGTTACTAAAATTTCCTTCTATTTTTTCAGTCCCGAAGTTGTTAACTGTTCTGCCAGAACAGGATTGGATATGCTAGCGAAACACTATTGTGAGGCCATCGGATTTGATATTGTTTTCTTCTTACCGGATAGTGAAGATGATTTTGCATCATATACTGAATTTCTTCGCTACCTTGGTTCAAAAAACAGAGCCGGTGTTGCTAAGTTTGATGATGGGACAACACTCTTTTTGGTGCCGCCATCAGAATTCTTAACGAAGGTTCTTAAAGTTGCAGGACCTGAACGGCTCTATGGTGTTGTTTTAAAGTTGCCTCCACAGGTGCCTATCACTGCACCACTGCAATCACATCCACCCCTTCTCTCTCATCATGATTATAATCTTGCACACTTGAAGGATGAACAAGCTTCACCAATGGAGTATGGAAGGGTTTTGCATGAGGAATCCGTATCTTCTGCAGGACCACTTGGGCAATCTATTGTACAAAGTCGACCACTCAATAATGCTACGGCACTTCCTGAAACTGGTGTTGCTTTAACACCTGATCTTATTGCTACCCTAACTTCTTTCCTCCCAACAGTTTCACAGTCTGCTGCTGTTGGAGATGTCCAGCCTCCACTGGTGACACCCACTACCAAGCCCTCATTTGCTCAAAGCATTTTGACGAAAGGAACTGCAATGATTTGGAACCAGGAGCAGCCAGCTTATGACCCTGCCACCTCATCTTTCCAACAGTACAATCTGCCAGCACAGTTACCACCACCAGCTCAACATTACTCAACTAGTACAACCATCCAGTCCACCCAGATGGCTCTTGGCAGCGCCAAGAATATGGATACTGCAGTCAGCTTACCACAGCAAACGGTTGCTTCTTCAAGGCCATTAACTAATTTTAATACCCCTTCACAAAGAGAATATGGTGCAGTTTCAGTCCCTATTAGCCAGCAATATCATCCTGAGGTCCCTTCTAATACACGGAATGGCAATGGAATGATGCATGGAGCAGACGCTTCTGGGTTGTATGGTGTGCCAGCTTTTCAGCAGCCAAGCAATGCTAATGCTAATGTTAATGTTTCTTCTAATCAGGTTCAAGGTGCTAATGTTTCTCAGCCACTAAATTTGATGCAAGGTGACAAACAAAATTTGGAGCTTCCTAGTCACGGACAGCAGCAGCAATCTGTGGTTTCTGGTGCTGGTCAGTGCATATCAGATGTGGATGCTGATAGAAACCAGAGGTACCAGTCAACTTTGCAATTTGCAGCTAATCTTCTCCTCCAGATTCAGCAGCAGCAGAAAATACTCCTGGTGGACAAGGGTTGGGGAATCAACATTGATAGCTTCTCCAATCTAGGTAATTGTCCCTTAACATGTTTTCTTGAGCATATACATGCTCAATTGGTTAGTTTAGGGAATTTCTTGATTTTTTTTGTGATGGTAGCTGTACGTCGACTGTTATTATCCTTCTTTTATATGGTTGCATATGCATTCTGAAAATTATGCATAACCTTGCTGATTTATAGCTTGGGAAATGTAGCCGTAGTGTCATAGCATTTGGCGAGATATTTTACTATTTTGTGAATAGAAAACAGGCCATCTTTTTTGTAATGAGATGGCTGCAATCATTTTTGTTTGTTGAAGTGTTTCAAGGTGGCGTTTTGAGAATGTTATGGGGTTGGTTGTGACAATTAGGATATGGTTGTTGATTTAATCTGATTTGTATTTTTTTAGAGGTTTTGCGTGTGGTCTATTAGCTCTAGCTGTGATGTCCTATATATCGTCCCATGGTGTTTGAAAGCTGATTCACTATTTCACTGTAAACGAAATCTTGGTGCCAGGAAGTTCCAGATTGATCTAGTCGACAAAAACATAATTGTTGGATTAATTGGACAAATGATTGGTGCATTCTTCTAGTGGCGTTTTAAAGTTATAATGTATTTGGATGATATTGTGATATGACCCTTGAAGGACCTTTCAAATACATGGAATAACTTCTAGATAAATGAAAATATCCGTGTCAAACACATACCCATTTGCAACATTAACATCCAAGTTCAAATAACATAGGTTTTTACAAATAATTGTTTCTTTACTGAATCTGGGCTCATTTGCATTGACATGACTTGTAAATTATGATCGATGTTTGATATCTTTTTTCCTATTCGTTTTTCTTGCATGGAGATTAAATTTTTGTTTAGGTCACTAGTTTTATCTTCTTGATAGAAATTATTGTATGCGTATCTTTTTTCGCTGGCAGTAGTAAATGTTAGTTTTGTTATTCTTTTCTTTGTGAGCATTGTTACTGTATTTCTGTATAACACATCTTACACTATTATCTTATTGTTGCATTTATTTTGAGGCTTTTTACACTTTTTCACTAGGCAATAGGATTGAACTTAGATATCAAACTAGTTGGTTCCACGAAAAAGCTATATCTTCCATTTTACTTGAAATTTGAGGAAACGTATCAACCCAGATGGATAGCAAGTATTTTGCCTTTTCAGTTTTGGTTTTGATGTGTTGGGTTGTGGAACCTTATTGAATGAAAAGGTTTTATGTTTACGGGTTTGTCTTCTATTTGTATGAACCTGAGCCCTGATGTGCATTAATTTCAATTATGTTACGTGCGTGTGTGTATATATATATATATATATATGTCTATCAAACCGTCTACTAATCTGCGTCATCAGATGTCTGGTGTGCATTATTCTATACAATGTTGCATGCATACATTGAAACACTATCAAATCGTCAATACCCTGTTAGGTTCATTTTGTACAGGGCTGAAAAGGTTGAAGTTGAAACTATTGAATTGATTGCATCCCATTTTTTCGTTTCGTCTCCATACGCTGTTCTTTTGTTGAGTCTCTCCTGGCAAACATCCATTTTTCTCATTTTCTTTCGATATAAAATTGATCGTAGCTTGAAGACAAGGGACTGAATGGGACAGGCTGCATTCGCCTTTTCTTTTAACGAATGTTCCTAGCCTTGAACACTTTCCAATCTGAAACTACTGCACATAATGTCAATACGTCTAATGAAAGAGCATAGGTTTTTTAACAATGGCAAAACCATTATTTTTCTTGTGGTTTTTCCGATACAAAACAACGAGGGGTAAGGATTCATTAGTTTATCTCATGTTTCGATAAATGTTATATCTCAAACTTGTTAACGTTATTTATCTCATGTTCCGATAAATGTCGGTACAGTTTATCTCTTGTTTAGAGAGTTCAATGAGGCAGGAAATAACATAATATTTGCATGTTTGGCTTAATCTCGGATACGGTTTCTTTTTCGGGATTTCTTAAATAGTCATAACGAAGCCTACTTAAATATATATTTTCCCGATTCATGTAGGAAAAATTTGGGCTGTGAATGCTCTCAAAAGAAGCAATTTTGTTAGTTCTACGCTCGTGAATTTAGATATTGTATTTTCTATTTTTCGCGATAAGCCCTAGAGTGTGAACTTCGTTGGTTCGTCATATCGGCTTCTGCGGCATAAATGATTCATGAGGACGTGAATGTACAAACTGTTTGTTTCTTCTTTGATAACGTATATAGGCTTTGATTTTTTACTTGGTCGTTTCAAGTGCCAATTTCACAAATCTTGCTTGGTTCCCTATTTTTATCATTCTTTACGTAATAATTAATCTGGAAGAAATACGTTAAGCTAAATTGAAATATTCAAGTTAGTAACCAACTATGATATTGATGTGTCATCATAAAATAGTGTTATGTTATTAATGATTTGTTTTTTAAAAATTATGTCAACAGTTCTATTAATACGTTAACAAAATGATCAAAACAGAGCAAAAGTGATAATTTAATTATTAAACATGTAGCTTATCCTTTTTTAAGGTTTAATGCCTAAATAAGTATTCAAACTATATCATTTGTGTCAAATAAGTGTCTACATTTTTTTTACCCATCTAACGTCACAAAAGTTGGCACTTTAGGTGTCCAGGCTATCAACGACATTAGTTTTTTTCGTTAAGTGACACGTGTGACAATTTGGCAATTTTAAAAATTTTATATAAAAATTAAAAAAATAAAATTATATATTTTTTAAAATGAAAACATAAATTTTGAAATAACACCTAAACTCTAAAAACTTTTATTTCAACCCTTAAACCTACGTCGCCTGTCGTCCTTTTCTGTCGAAGAAGCTCCACCCATCCTCCGCTCCATCCAACGATCAAAACCTATATGAAATCGTGACTGGTTGATGACCGATCAACGATAAATTGACGTTTTAAATCCCACGAACCCTAGGATAAAAATTGTGATCTTAAGTGATTTTGATGGTGAATCGGTAACAACTACGGCGACATATAACTAGGATGATGACAATGATTATGTCGACAGCGATGGTCGTGACTGGAAAGGGCGATGAAGATAGATTAAGGTTGAGATTTGGGATTTAGGAGTTGTTTTATAATATAAGAAAATTTAGGGGTTCTTTATAAATATAATAATCTAATGAGCAAAAAAACCACTCGAATGACGGCCCGAGCACCTAAAATACTAACGTTTGTAACATTAGACACCCGAATGAACAAAAAAAATACAAACACTTATTTAACATAAAAGGTATAATTTAGGTACTTATTTGTACATTAAGCCTTTTTTTTTTTAATGAGAAATCTCGAAACCATACATCTGCAAAGTCGTCGAGACGAGTCCAACATCAGAATACGACTCCACGACTGCGATTGAGGCAGAAGGCATACCAAATTAATCAGCCGCCAACAAAGATAGCTTCTCCCATCCCTTCATCCAAACACTCGAAGAAAACTCCAAACCCAAACCCCAAGACAAAGCATCCCGTCTATCTCTATCTCTCTCTCAACACCAGACAGTGACCCATAAATGTCTCGATTTAGTGCTAGGAGGTTCTGACCTCTTTTTTTGTTTGTTTTTCAAAATCCGGGTTTTGGGTTTTGAAGTGTGATTTCAATGGAAAAGGAGTTGGGATTAGATGGTTTAGGAGATTTAGCTCTCCACACGATTTTATCAAAGTTAACTCCTTCAGATACTGTTAGAGTATCATGTGTCAGCAAAAGGTATAGAGTTTCAGCTTCTGAAGATTCGCTTTGGGCTCACTTTTGTTCCCAAGAGCTTCATCTTGCATCCCCTCAAGATCATCATGGAAACCCTCTCCCTTCTTTTAAGGTGATTTGATTTTCCTTTTCTATGAATGTTTGTGTTGATTTACTTGATCGTGTGGCTGTTCTTGTTGAATTGGGGGGAAATCAATTATGTAAAGTAAATTTCTCCGTAAAAACACCATTTTGCTAATAAATCGCATTCATGGGGATCTAAGACTCGAGATTTGGAATTTAGAAGAAAATAAGCTAAAATTTAGTATAGGGTAAGCTAGAGATCACTGAATTATGGTCACATGAACTGTTACAAAACAATCACTCCGATGTTATAATAATTGCAAATTTTCGATAAATTTACTTTTTGATAAAATTGAGTGATGTTCGATTTAATCGTATGACATTTTTTGTAACTTTTGAAAGTACAATAATCGCACGAATAAACTGGCCTCCGATAGCCATACTATTTTACTTGGATAGGCCCTTATCCTTTTTTCAGCCTTATCTTTTGATTGGTACACTTAACCCTCGTTTTTTTAAGTGAAGTTTTTTTATGATAAGGGATTTTAGGTGTAAATTAAAGATTAGGGTTTATTCAAGTATATACAAGACCAGCAAGGCTGCATTTATGTGCACAAGAAGTACGGGGGTTATTTAAATAAAATGGTAAAGTTCAAGGGCATTTTTTTTTATTTTAGCAAAAATGTTTCACTAGATTTGAATACACTAGTATGTATGAATTTGTGGATTTATAGTGTGTATAAACTCGAGTATGCTTTTATCATTGTTTATTCTTTTTTTTACCAGGTGACTTATCAGTTATGGCGAGAGGCTTTCTCGATGTATCCATGGCCGCTTGTTATGCGTGTTAAGAGATGCTGGGATAAGCTTAAGCAATGGTTGAGCAATAATTTTCCCGAGGCTGAAGCTACACTTAGAAGGGGTGCATCAGAATCTGATATCGAACAATTGCAGACGCTTTTGAAAGTAAAACTACCTCTTCCCACTCGACTTCTATATCGTTTTCACGACGGTCAAGATCTGAGAGACTCGAGGACAGCGCCTGGTAGCTCGTTGGGAATTATAGGTGGCTACTCTTTCTATACCAATTCAGTTAATGTTTTCTTGTTACCGATAAGTCAGGTTATTGTTGAAACGAGAGGCTTCATACGTCACTTGGGTTTTTCGAGCCGGTCCAAGTACATCCTCGTGGCTGCTTCTTCCACTGTTAGTGAGAAATTGTTTTTCTTGAACTCTACCAATGGACAACTTTATGTTGGTACCCGAAACCTTCCTATGGATGGAGAAATGATTCAATGTGTCCCCAATGCACTTATCCGTTCCGTTCACAATTTGCATGATGATCAGCAGCAAGATGCTTTGCTGCTGTGGTTAGAGGAACACGGACGCCGTTTAGAGAACGGCGTAATCAAAGTCCGCAAAGAAGGAGGTGTCCGAAGTATCAATCTCTTTCCGAGGTTCCTCCCCTATGTTCCACTGCTGTAACAAATGGTGTGCAGGTATTTTTTCTTCTTTTTGCAAAGTAATTGTGCATCAATTTCTTTCTTCTGATACTTAGTTTGTTCTAATTCTTTTTCACTGATTCTTTCGGAGAATCAGTGTGTGTGTTGCTAGCTGAGTTCGATTATTATCTTATATTTTTCTATCTGTGCTGGATACTACATCATGTTTTTAACATCTTAGGGGCTTTTACTCGTATTTGACACATTACACTCAAGTCTTACGAAACATAGCTTTTCATTATTATTCACATAACGGTACTAACAAAGATTATTATCTTCAGGTTCGTGCTTCGGCTGTTTTTGTTCCGGAATTTGCTGACCTGCAAGGTGAAGCCGAGAAGTACACGTTTGCTTATTCAATCCGCATGTCGCTATTGCCAGAAGGATGTATCATTAATGGAACGACCTTTGGCTCCTGCCAACTGAGTCTGAGGCACTGGATTATTCGTGCCAATGAAGATATTGTATCTAATGTTAATGGAGAAGCTGTGATTGGAAAGGTAATGAATGACATACCAATTTCTCTCGGTTCAGTTTCTCGGATAGATAACTATGTTGGTCCGACTCTTCATAGTGTAGATAATGTTCCATCCTCCCGGCAATTTAATTTTCACTTGCTAAGAATATTTTGCTTTGAGAGGTAATGATTAAAGAAGGAAATTCGTTGTCCAGGATGTCTTTTTCTGTCGACTATCACGAGACAAGTAGTTTTGCATATGTTATTAACACGAGTCATTGAGTTGTCTACTTTTGCTATGAATCTCATATTCTCTTGTCCTTGCAGTTCCCAATCTTGCATCCCGGTGAAGATGAATTTGTTTACGAGAGCTGCACCCCTTTATCATGCCCTTCGGGATCCATTGAAGGGTCTTTCTCATTTGTCCCTGGCAGGTATTGTGCAAAAACTTTTATCCGACATGGATATACTCTTATGTTACCGGTTCATAAGAAAATTGTTCAGTCTGATAAGCTCAATTTGTTACTGTTTCTCTTTGAAGAGAGTGAATATTGGATATGGGTATATTCAATTTGTTACCTAAACTTGTCTTTATGGTTCAAATAGTTCGGGTACCAATTTGAACTAACAATTCAAGTTCGAGTACCTAATTGGACCTACAAAATCTTCAGTAACCGAACTGCACATTAAAACCAAGTTGAGGTACAAAATATATATTTATCTTTTTATTTAGCATCATTTCAAAGACACCTGCATTACATTTTCTTCCAACAGGTAGTTCCATTTTCCGACTGCCGATATTACAACTCGAGTTTCCGATAAACGAAACCACGAAAAATTCATTTCTTTTATCGAACCAAGATTGTTTTCCGTAGGTTGTGAATATTTGTTCTCCGCTCTAATGTCGTTATCATCCATGTTTATATAGGACATGGATATGTGTGTGACATGAATGCTTTCTAACGGAGCTTTTACCGTTACGGTTAGGTTGGCTGATCCGAAAGGCGGTCCGTTCGAAGTTCAAGTGGCAAGGTTCCCGCTTCAGAAGCCGGATTATGTTTTTTGAGAAAAACTTGTGCTTTGATCTGCTTTCCTGTTGATTTCACATGTATTATATGTTATTGTTACATATTTGTATGTGTGTGTGTGTGCTCTTTATGACATTGTGAGATTGCTCGTACTTAAAAACTTTTATATTATTATCATATACTTTTTATATATTTACTGTGTCATGATTATGGGTTGAGTCGGATTTTTGGCCGATCCGAACTTAACGCAAACGTATTAACCCTTCACTTGTCATCCGATTCGGGCCTCTCGACTCGAGATCGAAGATTGATTTAGATTTAATTAAAATATATTTCTAATATTGAAAGTACGTTTGAGATAAAATTAAATTTTACCTCTAATATCAGAGTTGTATTCGAGCAAGTTAAGAGAACTTAATTTATCTCTAAAATTATTTTATCTTTAAAATAAATTCAAATCAGTAAGGGTTAAAATTAAGTCTTGTTTTCATTTGAAAATATATACAAGTGGGGAGGAATTTATTATAACATGTAAATGAAAGTCTGTTTACTATTTTTATCATGTACGTAACTTATTGTGTAATCATAATAGATCGTCGTATCATAATAGATCATCAACTAAAGAATAAAATTAATATAATTAAAAGGTAGAAATAGTATTGTTAATTTGCACGATGCCGTCTATCACCTTTGCCGTGATCCTTAAATTAAGTTTATAATTTTTAACTACCGAGCATGGCTTAAGTGGTAAACAATTTGATATCGTCTTGAGTTTGAATTATTTTTACTGAGTCACTCGTCTATTTAAATTAAGTGTTCATCATAATTTGGTTCAGATTAATCATGACAAAATCATGAAAATCAAGAGTAGGGGTGTTCAAAATTTCATTTAACCGAATAAACAGATCGAACCAAAATTTTTACGATTAATATATTATTTATATATTAATAACTTTAGGAGTGTTTAAATTTCGGTTTTAACCGAATTAATTGACCGAACTAACCGACTGAATTAGCCTAAAATATTTAATATATATTATTTTAAAATTTTGGTTAATTTGATTAATCGACCAATTAGTTGAACCTTGTTCGGTTTGATTAATTATTTTCAAAAAAATTTCGATTCGATTAACGGTTAAAGAAAAAAAAAACAGGTTAATGAAATTTTGAAAGTTCGGTTGTAACATAATATAAAATTAATATGGGTGAATTACACCTTTATTACTGAACTTTACTTTCGCTCCTATTTTGCTCACCGTACTTTCAATTTTTCTATTTTGCTCATTGAACTTTTACAGATTGAATCATTTTGCTCACTATGCCGTTAACTCTCTAACAGAGTGATGATGTGTCATTTATTATTATTATTTAATATAAAATAATTGAAAATATAAAGAGTAAATTACATTGTTCCTCACTGAGCTTTACTCTCTCTCCTATTTAGCTCACCCAACTATAAAATAAAAACAAAAGGTTGTTCGATCCCAAATTTCATGGTTGCTTCGCCTCGACACATTGAGTTCGAATTCAACCTCTATTTTTTGTGGAACTTACTCCGAAGTCCATGGATCAAAGATTGAAAGTGAGGAAGTCGAAATGTTTCAATCGTTATTTACTAATTTTGAGACATTTTCTGATGAAACAACCATCAGACTCGGACTCAGGGGTCAAGACGAAACAACCTATGAATTTTGAGACCGAACGACCACTTTCAACGTCGATTAACGATTAAATAATTAGGTGAGCAAATTAGGAGATAGAGTAAAATTCAGTGAGAAACAGTGTAATTGATGATTAAATAACATTAAAAAATTTACAGCTCATCACACTGTTAGAGAGTTAACGGCAGAGTGAGTAAAATAATTTAATACGAAAAGTTTAGTGAACAAAATAGAAAAATTAAAAGTACAATGAGAAAAATAAGAGAGAAGTAAAGCTAAATGAGAAATGATGTAATTTACCCTATTAATATATATATAGAAAGATGACGAGTAGAGTAGTGTCTTCAGATCTCATGCTCTCCAATTTATCTTACAAAACAACCTGTAATCAATTCCCTCTTATTTCCTTTTATGAAATGATTTGATTTCTTTCCATTTATTATCAATATCTACTCTTAGATTGTCTCGTCCCTGAAGAAAAACCCCTTCATTTTCTCGTGAAAATCTTCTTTGACTACTGTTGTTGTCTTCATTTTTCGTCACCAAGTCTCAGTTTTTTTTTTTGGCTTTTAATACCCCATTTTCAAGTTTGCAGATCTTTGCTCTGCTTAGGGTTTTGGTTTCTGCTTGGGTTTAACTTCAAAGTTTAGTAGTTCTTCTCTCTCTCTCTCTCTCTCTCTCTCTCTCTTTTCGCTAGAATGGAGAAAGATAAATCTCCAGGCTTACCGCCACCGTCAGGTAGGTATTCGGGGTTTTTGTCTGCCGGAAATGCTTTGAACTCATTCTGTCAAAGTTCGGATTCGAGTCGTTTCAGTCACGATATTAGCAAAATGCCTGATAATCCGACGAAGACCTTGGGTCACCGTCGTGCACATTCCGAAATCCTTACTCTTCCCGATGATATTAGCTTCGATAGTGATCTCGGAGTTGTCGGGGCGGGCGATGGGCCGTCTTATTCCGATGATACGGAGGAGGATTTGTTCTCTATTTATCTCGATATGAATAAGTTCAATTCTTCTTCTGCAACCTCCACTTTTCAGGTCCGTGAGTCGTCGTCCGCCAATGGTTCTCCGGCTACTGCTCCGGTGGCTTCCGGAGACGGGACGGGGATGAACGGTGAAAACGCGAGTGTTACCGTTGGGTCTTCCGAGAAGCCTAGAGTTAGGCACCAGCATAGCCTGTCGATGGATGGTTCGACCAGTATTAAGCCGGAAATGCTAATGTCCGGTTCGGAAGAAATTTCTCCTGCTGATTCTAAGAAAGCTACGCCAGCTGCTAAGCTTGCTGATCTTGCCCTTATTGATCCCAAGCGTGCTAAGAGGTATCCTTTTTTTTTATTTCTTTTGGCTTGGAATTCTTGTATGAGCTGAATTGATTGAATTGGATTTATTTTCAGCGTCTTTAATTATGAATTGTGTTAAAAGATTCATGCTTTAGAAGGAAAGTTTGTGGCCTTTGGCATTAAATAAGCAGGGATTGTACTCTCTGTTTTTTTACTATGATAATTGTTTTAATGACTACACAATTCCGTTTTATGAGCTTGGTGATTATATTTTAGAATGAAGTGTTATCTAACTCATGGTTGAAGATAGAATTACAGGGACGCGCAACTCGTTATTGAAAGAGTCGGTCACACAACGTTCTTCCTGATATGTTAGTTTTTCTCTTAGCTTAAATCCCAGCATTAAAAGGCTTTACTAATGTGTCCATTTGATGTTAGATTTTTCTTGGCTTAATCCCCAGAATTAAGCATTTCGCTATGTTGCTTTGTGATTTCGTTAATTTGTTCTTAACTTAAATCCCAGCGGTAAGCCTTTTGCAACTTGCTCCACCTGCTGTTGTTTTCTTGGCTAGGTCTGAGCATCAAACCTTCACTACCTCCCCACCACATGATGTTAGTTTTTTCCCCTCAAACCCTAGAGCATTAAGCCTTCGCAACGCCCCCCACGTGATGTTAGTTTTTTTAGCTCAAACCCCAGAGCATTAAGCCTTCGAAACGCTCTCCACGTGATGTTAGTTTTTTTTTTCAGCTCAAACCCCAAAGCATTAAGCCTTCGCAACGTTCTCCATGTGATGTTAGTTCTTTTAGCTCAAACCCCAAAGCATTAAGTCTTCATAACGTGCCCCGCACCGCACGATGTTGTTGTTTTCTCTCCTAGCTTAAATCCCAGCATTAAGCCTTTTGCAATATGCTCTGTGTGATGATGTTATTTCTTTCTTAGTTTGGATCCCACCTTTAAGCCTTTTTCTGTCAGGTTGAGGTCAGTTCCATAAAGATATGTTTACTGAGAGATCATGTAACTTGGTTTTAATTTGAAGCTAGTTTGAAACTAGGGCAGTTGCCGAAGCTATAGTTAGTTTTCTGTCCATCTGTGCTTGCGTCTCGATAATTCTCCTCCGCCCCCTTTTCTTCCCATCGAGAGGATCTTTTTTGGAGTTTGGATTTTCATCTTTACCAGAACAGAGATGAATATTGTTGCCCTGGTATATATTTTTAGATTTTGATGCCATCTTATCTTTTCTTTTCTTTGCAACAGAATTGGGCAAATCGGCAGTCTGCTGCTAGGTCAAAGGAAAGAAAGATGCGATATAGCTGAGCTTGAACGGAAAGTACAGACGTTGCAAACAGAAGCAACATCACTCTCTGCCCAGCTGGCTCTGTTACAGGTAGTTTCAACTGCTCAGCACTGTCTCCTTGTGTGCATTCTAAATGTTGTGAAATATAGCAGACCTTCATATCCTTTTGTTTTCATTTTATTTTATTCGTTTGTGTTCTTTTAATTTATTTATATTTAATTATTCACCCAATTCTTATCTGGTAATTTATGAGCAGAGACACCAATGGTATGACTGCTGAGAATAGTGAGTTGAAACTGCGGTTGCAAACAATGGAGCAACAGGTTCATTTGCAAGATGGTGAGCACCTCTTCAATACATTTTTTTGAAAACACTGGTCGAGTTCAACACTATTCTTTCTTGGCTAGACTATAAACTCCTGTATGCAATTTGATTACGTGGTTCGGAACATAAATGACATTTATTATTCCTATGTTATCGAGTGGCTCTCGATCTAGTTTTTTTCACCTTTCGACTATTCGTATCAGTTACGAATATAAATGCTTTCTGTTATACTATAAACACCAAATTAATGTTTGAGCTAATTCCACTGTTTCGTTATTAATTGATTTGTCTTTGTTTCTGTCGTTTGGTATTGATAGCATTAAACGATGCACTGAAAGAGGAAATCCAGCACCTGAAAGTAATGACTGGCCAATCTATGCCGAATGGTGGACCAATGATGAACTATGCATCGTACGGAGCTAATCAACAGTACTACTCAAATAATCAGGCTATGCGTACTCTCCTAACCGCACAACAGTTTCAGCAACTTCAGATTCAATCGCAGAAACATCTGCATGCATTCCAGCCGCAACATCAAACGGGGGACATGGGAGTTAGAGGTTCCATG